AATAATTATAATTTTAAAGAGAATAAGAAATTGTAAAAGCATCATCCACAGTTGATCAACAAAAAGAAAAATTTAGAATATGATATTTCAGATTGAAGATAGCTAGAAGTTCAATCAATGAGCAGAAGAAGTATTGAAATTAAGTGAAGGAATTGAGGTAGATAGTTGCATATTATATCACACAGATTAAGATTAACACACGAATGAATTTGCTTCTTGTGTTGTTTACTAATTTGTTTGTTTGCCTATTAGTCATATATATGGCTTTGATATTGAGAGTATCTCAGCACGACAAGTTACTTGTGTGGACTAATGTTTTTTTATTGTCAAAGTGAGATGATTATATATTTTAATCGTGTTTAACCAAATATATATGCTATATTGTGTCTTTATTGTTGCAATATGTATGAGATATGTAAAATACTAGTCCTTGTTTGAGTATGTTCATCAATTTCTTTACAGTTTATCATTGTACCGTTTTAAGTGCATTTGATTTTTCTTATTCACCAGTTACATAAAGATTTGGTAACTGTTTCAAAACATTGATAAATAGAATAGAGAATATCAGTTGTATGGGACTCGATGCTACTGATGTGTCACGTAATAAAGGTGAAATATACATTAGAAAAAAAAAAATTTATTTTTCAGTAGAAATAACATTCTTCTATATTTAGAGATGAAATAAATTTCAGTCACAAAAAAAAGAGACGAAATAAATTTTATCCTTAATTTAATTAAGAAGAAAATAGCAAAATACACTTGAAAGAATGTGAAATGATAAACAAGTAAACATGAGAAGAAATTAAGATATCAAAATATATTTCATACAAAGTGCTCTAAATTTTGTCTAGCACTTAAAGACCAATGAATTGGTGGGTTTCAAGATTTTCTTATCCACGATGTAAGAAGAAATTAGGATGATAAGGGAGGAGTCCCAACTTTGTTTGCCTTTATAGATACATCAAATATAAGAGAGAGTGAAGTGGTAACACAAGAATGTAATCATACAACTTTTATACTACAGTTGAAGAAGTTTTAAATCAAGCCTCAACATTTCAGTAGTGCTATTGCATGTAAAAATGCAAGAACCCAAAAGAAGACTGATGGGCAGGAATTAAAACCGTCTACCATAATCAGTTAAGCGCTGAAATCCTCGCCGGGATAAAGCCATCTAATGAATTCCCGCTCAAGTTTAAAGCAATGTCTAAATCTCCTTTGTCAAAAAGTTCATGTGGTATGGTTCCAGAGATGTTTATTGAATGAGTTCTTGCTAAGAATGAGCTGACCAAGACTATCATGAATCTTACTAGTCAAGTCATTTAGATAGAAGTCAATTACCTAAAGCTTTGTTAAAGAAGATAAAGAGAGAGGATGATAACCTTTGAAGTTCATTGACAAGTAATTAGTCTGACAAGCGAGGTTGAGCACACCGGAGATGGCATTGGATATAAGAAAGAGTTTAGTCAGATTACGAAGCTGGAACAACCAGCAGGTCAAGCTCCAGTGAGAAAATTCTGAGACAAGTGAACAGCTTGAAGGTTCTGACAACCCGCTAACTCGTCTGGAATATTCCCTTCTAGCTTATTTAACCATCCAAGAAGATGTTGAGCTCCTTGCATATTCCAACATCTGGTGAAATCAAACCAGAAATCTGATTGGCGCCAATTTTTAACTGAACAAGCATGATGCAGTTGCTTGGAACCGAAGGTATTGACCATGTGATTTTGTTGCTGCTAAACAAAAGCTCTTGGATACTCGTCAAGTTACAGAACGATTCAGGGATGGTTCCGTAGAAACGTTTCATAGAGAGATCAACGGCGTTTAAGCTTTCCAAGAATCTACTCTCTTCAGGGATATATAACTTTATGACGATCATTCTGCCTTTAGGTATTGAAGTTGTCCTAGTTCTCGTGTAAACGTGTCGAACAAGTCACTGTCGTATTGAAACAGATTGATAAGCCCAATATGGAGTTTCCAAGCTCACCAATGATTATAATTGGATTGTCTTAGTGAGCGCTGTCAAGCACTACGGTAGAAATATTTATCGGACACTAGTGAAATACCCCTATCCTGAACCCAATGCTATATATGTCTATGACAAGCATAAAGCAGCGACTTTGTTCCCAATTAATATTTAGGGTCTGACTGGTTGAAACGCGGCGGTTGCGATTATGGTTGCGGGAGTTTGCGGATGTGGGTGGTTGCGGTCATTGGCGAACCTACCTTGCCCAAGAAGGTGGCAAGTGCCCCCCAAAAAAAATCAAAATTTTTTAAATATGCCTAAATTTGAATTACTCATTTTATTAAATAACATTTTCAAGCTATATTTTAAATTTTATATAGGATTTGCCCCCACTAAAATACAATTCTACATTCGCCACTGGTTGCGGTTTCTAGCGTTATTAGGCGATTTGTACGACTGGTACAGTGATTAAAAACTGGTGCGTTTGCGGGATATTTATGACTGGTTGATTATGAGATACTACAGCGGTTCAATAATAAATTTCCAATATTAACATATTATAACATTATAAAAATATCAAAACATACTATTATGATAAAAAATAATAACTATTAATA